TGCTGACATTCCTTAAAGGATTTCAGAGGGTTCCAGCCCTGGGGAGAAAAAAATGCCTGTGGCCTGTGACATTGCTCAACTAACCCAAGGGGAAGATACCATTTCTGAGAGGGATCATATACAAATGAAAGCCAGGTTTTGATTCTGTGATCCTACTCACATGGGAGACATAACTGTGGTAGATTACTTCAGGAGATGATGCTGGCTTACCACTGTGATCAAGATTGCAATTGGGTCTGCTGTTTTTTTTAAACCTGCTTCTCTTTGATTCTGCTTTTTAAAGAATTCATCCTTAAGAAAAGATCACTGGAACCAAATCAAACTACAGATGCAGAACAAATGGCGGTGACAAACATCACAAATCATGACTCAAAGGGTGAAAGGAACACACCAGCACCATCAGCTCTAGAAATGACTACAAGAGGGACCAGAACAAGCCCAACAGTTGTAGCTGCAACCAGTGCCACGACCACCACTGCTCGTGCCACGACCACCACTGCTCCTTTGACCCCCATGACTGCCAACACCACTATAGCCTCAATAGAAACAACAAACAAGGTGAAAATGTCTACTATCCCAGCCACAAGTAATACAACATATTTTGGAGCCTTGAATGTCTCTGAAAATTCCAGTGTCCTTCCCAGCACGATACATCCAGCTGCTGCTTCTCCAAATTCAAGTCATGCAGCTTATAGCTCTCATCCCTCAGCTACCTTTGGCAAGTCTGAACTTTCACCCAGTATTTCACTGGCTATTACCACGTCTGTCCCAGCTCTCAACACAACAACACAACCCAGTACAACCATTACTACAAGCAGCATTTCCACATCTAGTAGGAGTACGACTGTTGGGGTCGATCCAAAGCCAGTAAGTTTATCCACAGCTGCAGCCACCTCCCGCCAGAATTTGGAAGATGGGACAGGCGTTTCCCGAGCTACTAGTCCCTCGATACCAGTGACGGAAATGAATTCTTTAAACCCCAAACTGGAGACAACCACAGCCAAAACAACCGGAGTTAAGCCAACTCCTCCTCTTCCAGTTACTACAGAGGGTGCAAAACCTTTAACTAGCCAGTTAACAAAAGAAGCTACCATTGGTTCTGGGGTGAGAACAATATATACAACTGTTTTGATTAAACTTTCAACCACAAATGCAGCAGATATAGCCAGAACACCAGTCCCAGGCCTAGACATCAGCCAACAAAGCACAGCCAGTGAGTATCTGCTTCCAAATGCGGCAGACGACATCAGTTCACTCCTGGCAGTGCTTATGTTTGGCATATTGTTTTTTATAACTGTTATAGTTCTGTTTGCCATTCAGGCTTATGAAAGCTACAAGAAGAAGGACTACACACAAGTGGACTACTTGATCAATGGAATGTATGCGGACTCAGAAATGTGAGAGGGTGGGGCAGAGACCCCAAGAGACAGGCTTCAATGTGTATCATGGAGACAGAAAGAAAAATGAGCCACGCAGGCTTTCTCATTTGCCTATAAGACAAACTGAAAGTGCTTCCAATTTTACTTCCAGTGCAATTTAGGAAAAATGCCATGTACTGTATTAAAAAAAAAAAAGAGATTTTTCTCAACAATAACAGATTGCTATAGAAATGGAGTAATTTCTAACAACCCTGGCGCTAATACAAAATTGCTTCAGCCATTGTTTTTCGTTGCAAAATGAAACTGAAAAGTGTGTGTGTGTGTGTGTGCAATCATCTTCCAAAGATTGCAGAGAGCTTCGTTAAGTTCCTTGCCTGTCATTAATTCCACATGCAGCAGTTTGTAAACTTCCTGTCTGTAAAACAGGAATGACAATGCCCATTCACCTTTTATGAAGTGCTTTTAAATTCAATAGATGAAAAGCCCTGCCTAAGTGCTAAGTATTACTTCAATGAGACATTTTTAAGCCAATGAGCATCATGTTCTGCTAATGCTTCCTGCTTGTAAAGAGATCTGTTTACAAGATACTGTAAACACTCGGTTTACTGCTGAACAAGACGGTTCTTTACTAAGGTGCAGATTCTTGTGCCTCTATACATACATGATCTTATTTTTGTATTCACTCAATAAATGGGGTCCTGAAGGGCATGTAACTTTTAATTTATGTATTTATTCTTTCCCACACACCAAAATAGGTCTTATGATGTGGAAGCAACATTATTATTTACAGTAACTCATGTAAAGAACAAGTTACAGTAAAACGTAACAACCTTACAACTGTCCTCATAAGGGTCTGGGGCCTAGTTTTGTTGCTGTCCTGCCACACCAGGAAGTTCCTGCTGCCTCACCTAGACTGTCCTGAGATGGCACACTTCCTGGATATTCTTGTTTCTGGGAGGACTTGCTTTGTCACATAGTCATCTATGATTCTGGATATATCTTTTTTTTTTTTCTACATTTTGCCTTTCAAAATCAAGGTCATATCTTGGGGGGGAAGGGGGGGAGGGTGCGGCATGGAAGAAAATATGTTGTGAACTAAACTTGTGTGAAAAGTTTTCTAGGATCTTATCCTCCTTGAAGGAAAAAGGTGATGGGTGCATGGGAGTGTAACCTCCTGCTCACAAGCCAAAAAAGAATATGCACTCTCCACACAACCTAGTCATAAAATGATGCATGCTTTGGGATATTTTGGAGCAAATTGGAGGATGAGCCCCGACATAGGTTCAGTCCAGGAGTGGAGGGGGGGGGTTGGGGGCAGTCCTGCCCCCCTCCCCTCCATTCCATTCCTTGTAATTTTGCATAACCCTGCCTCTCTTCCATAGCCCCAATCCTTCATTTGCATAACCCCATTTCCAATCCCTCCCTCCCACTTCTTTCCCTGCCTCTCATTCCATTATTTGCATAACCCTGTCCATCTTCCTTCTCCCCACTCCTCTCCTTAGGAAACACTTAACTTCCCTCCCTCGTTCCATTATTTGCACAACCCAAACCCCTGTAGAGACAGTGCCCCACCTCTCCATCATTTCCACTCCCTCCTGCCTCTCCACTCCAGGACTGCAGGGCTTTTCTCTGCTTGCTGGTAAATGTATTTATTTATTTGCAGCAAGCTGCTCAGGGATGGTCCAAAACCCCAGCTTCATTTCCCTGATTAAGCCCAGAGAAGCCATTAATCCACACTTAATACATTGATTAATGGTTTCCCGAGGCTTAATCAGAGTAAACTGCAGTTGCAGGCCATGTGGCAAGCTGTGAAGAGGGGCGGGATTACAGGAGTGTCTCAGCCAATCAGAGGCATGCGGAGGCCCCCTGTGCTCAGCCCATGAAAATGGCTCCCCAGCCCTCAATCTGCTCACAAAATCAGCTGGGAGCTGTCTCAAATTCGGTAGGTCCCTACTGATAAGAAAGGCAGTAAATAAAAACAAATGAGCAAAAAAACACTGATTCAAAGAAGGAAGTACCAAAAAGCAGGGCTGAACAACTTGAGAAGTAATGTAAAAAGTAAGAACTTATTCATGGAGCAGAGACAACAAAGGCCTGGAGCTGCAGGTGTGAGAACTTGACAAAGGGGCAAGTAGAAGTGGGCATCTTGACAAAGAAATAGATAAATATTGGCATGAGACAAGGGCGTCACGGGCATAAATATGGAGACGGCAAGACTTGTTTTTTAGCGACTTTGGAGACCATGGCTAAAGTAAGCAGTTGTTACCATTGTCCCAGGCAGTTTCACTGAGTTGGGCTGATTTCTAAACAGACCAGCTGGTGTACTAAGAGACAATAAACCTCTCTAAGCTTTTGCCACCGAACACAAATTTGAGTCATTCTTTTTGCATAACACCTAGGCTTTGAGAGGCTGTTTGCAGGAAATGGGCTCTGAGAGCACACAGACCCAAGCAGCCCAAAACACCAAAAGTGACAGCAAGCAAGAGGCTACCCAAAACTCCCCCATGCCTCAGAACAACAGCTGAATATGACCCAAAAGTGTGCCTTTGTTGCCAAGAAGGCTAATGGCATACTGGGCTGCTTTGGTAAGAGCATCACCAGCAGATCGAGGGAAGTCTTCTCCTCTATTCAGCGCTCGTGAGGCTACATCTGGAGTACCGTGTCCTGTTTTGGGCCCCCCACTACAGAAAGCATGTGGACAAATTGGAGAGAGTCCAGCGGAGGGCAACAAAAATAGTTGGGGGGCTGGGCACATGACTTCTGAGGAAAGGCTGAGAGAATGGCGTATTTAGTTTGGAAAAGAGAAGACTGAAAGGGGATTTAATAGCAGCCTTCAACTGCCTGAAGGGGGGTTCGAAAGAGGATGGAGCTAGACTGTTTTCAGTGGTGGCAGATGACAGAACAAGGATCAAAGGTCCATAGCTGCAGCAAGGGAGGTTTAGGTTAGCTATTAGGAAGAACTTTCTCACTAGGAGGGTAGTGAAACACGAATAGGTCACCAAGAGTTTATGGACTTTCCATCTTTGGAGGTTTGTTAAGACCTGTCTAAACAAAGCCTGGGCTGTGACAATATATGGGGATGGCCCTGCTTTGAGCAGGGGGTTGGAATAGATGACTTCCTGAGGTCCCTTTGAACCCTAATTGTCTATGATTTTTAGGGGTGTCACTTCTCTTCCAAGCTTTTGCAGCTGTAATTCTTGCAGCCACTAGAAAAAGAGGGATCGATTTCTTATGACACTTGAATCCTACAGAACTCTCGGGAAGGTTCAGTAAGAACTCGGCAGTGTCTGATATTTGGTATCCTGGTGTTTTCCTCACCATGTCTCCAACCTTCTTCCAGGACAGTTTGATTCTGGGACGTGTCCACCAAAAGTGATAGGATCCTTCCAACTGACTGCTCTCTTTCCAACATTTGCCTGTTCCTGCCTGCCTGTCCCATTTAATTTGAAGTGGGGTGAGATACCACTGATGTAGGATTTTTTTTTAAATTATTTTATTATCGTGCACATGGGTATGTGTGACGGACCATTTTTTCCACATGGTCTCCCATTCTTCAGTACTAATTTCTGATCCAGTGTCGTTAACCTACTTTGTCATATACAATGTTTTTTCTTCTTTGTGGCTATTAAAGATTGCTTCAATTAGCACAGACGATAGGCCCATGTGTTTCATAGGTATGACCAATATTCTGTCAGATTTCTACTGAGGTTTACCTTTCTTTGGGAGTGTGTTGAAAAGTGTCTTAATTCCAGGAATTGAAAAACTGGGATTTTAATGTCACTTGCAAATGGCACTTTTTCTAGTATTATGCAACAGCTTTGAAAGTAAGGGCCAATCCATTTTCGCGGTGTCCTGCAGAGCGAAAATATGACTGCATATCTTTTAATTCTATTTATCCTGGAAAGTGGAAGTCTTTGCAAATGTTTCCTTTAGTGACTGACTACCACCTTTGTTTTTAATGGACCTGTATGGCAGCAGGAGTTCCAAACTGGGCGAAGAACTTGACTGGGGCCATGCAGCACTTCATGATGTGATGTCTCAGTGCTCTTTTGTGCCATAATGAGTTGGGTTGGGATAAGTTATAAAAACAATTTTTAAACGGTGTGTTTTGGGCAGAAAGTGAAGATGGCCTTTTCCAAACTGGAAAAACTGTGTTTATGTGGGGGAGGGGGAAGGGGTGGAATTTAGGTTAGGTGTGATGTAATGTTGAAAGGGTAGCATTTGGCGTGGACTAAATGTAGTAGTTCAATGACTTCCATAATGGAAATTGTCTGACTGTTGCTTCTGCATCACAGCTAAAAGAGGCAACCACCACCCTAAGAACCCACCTGGTTTAATACTGACTCAGAGACTACAAACTACCCTCATATTTGTCCTGGGATAAACCATTTTATTCTGGGACAAAATGCAGTTATTCAGACATCCATGTCCATTGTCCTGGTATACAGCCTAAAAGGTTCTTAGGATAAGATCTGCTAACAGTTTATTCCAGGACATTGCAAAGTACATCTGAACAGTTGTCTGGGGATTGTAACAGTGAACCAATGGCAGAAAAGCAGCAGTGTATTCAGCTGCTTTCTAAACTCTGATTAGAAAGCTGACGTGTTCATGCCAGTTGAAATGTTCTGGGATAAACACAACTATGACTTGTCCAGAGACAAATGCAACATCTGTTTCTAGCCAAAAGGATGTGAGCTGATCAGAGCACCTTGCTGCTTGTGCACACCTGTGTGTGTTTTCCATATAGGTTTCCAGTTCAACTACTGGTTTGGCCTAATTTTGAGCATATTAGAATTGGAATCATGGCTGGAGCTGGTATAGTGGGAAGCACTTTCCTGTTCTTATAATAGCTTTCTATTCTGACTATAGTGTGATGCAGATTCATGGAGGGTAGGTCCGTCAGTGGGTATTAACCATGATAGGGCTGCAATCACCAAATTAAGGCTGCCTTAGCCTCTGAATGCTGGAAGCAGTAAGGGAAGAGGGTGTCATCACCAATGCCAAAGGCTTATTAGGCTGTCTATGCCCTTAGTTATGCTTGTGCATCTGCCTGTCTTGTCTTCATGAGGAGGTAAATCAAGGGGACTGTGGCAGGGTGTAAGAAGCAAGGAAGTGCAGCTAGATGCAAGTATGGGGAATCCAACTGTTGGGTAGATTCCCAGCAGGGAGTATTGAAGAGGCCCCTAGCTCACAGAGAGAGAGATAGAACAGAAGGAGCTTGGGTGAGTGTGGAAAGCTTTATCAGTCCAGGAAGAGGCACTTTTCTCTGTTTTCCTGTGTAACAGGGGACCCCTTCCCCCGTTACTTGGAGAAAGTGGGAGCAGGGTGGCATGGAGTAGGCTACCAGCAAAAAAGACTGACGAACTCATGTTACATGGACACAGCAGGTGGAGCCTCTTCAGAGCATAGTTGAGTGGGCTGCAGGACTCATCCTGCAAATTGCAGGGAGTAGTACACTTGGCTGCTGAATGGGGATGAGTGGTACCTGGTTCATATCAAGAGCAAGCCATGCCAAGTGACTGGAGTGGGGAGGAGAAGGGGCCATGTGACCCCGATCCTGGGGCCCAAGGTTCAGACTGGCCCAGATCTTTACAATAGAAGGAGCTTTGCAGGCCTGCTAATGAGGAGAAAAATTATGTGCTTTGTTTCTGTTGCTATTTGGGGGTTGCGTTATACTGGAGAACGGGGCTGTGGCTGTAGGGGAGGATTGGAGACCACAC